TGGTCACATGCTATTCAAAGGTAATAACACTCGGATGCTTTTGGTTCAGTTAAGGAATCCGGATGGTTGTCCAGAAATATGAGACGTCATGTTACTATTATTGACAACTTGATATGAGGCGTCTGATCGCTGTATATTTCCTTACGTCCTGCCAAGTGTGGTTTTATTAAAATTTCGCGCCGCCATGGTGTGTATTGCCTAGTGACTCAGACCGATCTTTTTCAGTATGAAAATGGTCACGATACAAAACATCTGAGGACTGACCAATCCATATTCCTAACTTAATGACGCTAGGTTGAAAGGCGACTGAAGTATTTGGGAAGCAAGGTGCTTCGACGACAGTACATGGTCATGTTGATGGCCTGCTCAGTCTGGATATTAAAGAGCACTGAGTAATCAGAGGTCCTTTGGCGCGTCTAGGTAACATCCTTTCAGCCCGAAATGATTGGCATATGTAGAAGCAATGGGAGCATGAGATGGTCTCTCTACTCCACTGTGCTTCATACTTGATGCCAGTTTACGTTTTAAACTCCTGCTTAAAACACACACCTCGGTACTTTTATATTCAACACATGACAAACAGCACTCAACGAGCAAGACTATCTGTGATTGTTCACAATCTTTTGCCCAATCATTCTTGAGATCAATGAGAAACTGGTGTGTAGAGCACTTCTGGTCGTTTGCAGACTGCATTCCGTAAGTTTCAAAATGGGATATTTGCAAGCTGTTCACCTTGATGAGCTTACTTGTCACGTTCACTAATTTAGCTGCCTTCCCTCTGTTTCACTGAACTCGCTGCTGCTCACACAGAATTACAAAGGGAAGGATGAACCGGATTGATCGGTTCATCGGTATTCCTACCCCATTGAGTGCTATGAAACGTCTCCATAGTGTTATTCGGAAGAGTTCTAATGTGAGAAGAAGCAGAACTCAAGTGGAATGTGCTCCTAGTTAAGTGAACCAAATAGTCAAACTGATCTAAACACCTCATGATCTGCCTAGAATCGGAAAGTTTCAACCATAGAATTTATCTCGTGTTCGAGGTCAGTCTATACTAAGGAGCACTGTGCGGCTATTCATCTTTGTTGGAGTAAATAGCAGCGGTGCCTCTCACCGATCTTTAAGACGATTTGAACCCCAACCTTCTGGGTGGAAGTTTGAATAAAACAACCAAGCTGTGATTTGCTGGCCAGCGGTTACGCACGGTAGAACGCCACTCATCCCCCGATCATCTCATCTTATCTGATATTGATCTGCCTGTATGTTGGAACCTGAGGTTCGCGATTCGCTAGCTGCATTTGATTCCTAACACTAACAAAACAGCCCTATGGTGCCTTGCGGTTTTTTGTACGGGTTGGTTTCGTCCTCCGGATGAAATCCATGTTTAAATCTGATTAGAATTTACACGGAAAAGTTTTGGTCCAAATACGACGATTTCAGGTTAAGAGTCGATTGGAAAGATGTATTTATTGTAGACTTGGACCTTTATTTCTGCAGTCTACAGTCGGTCTCAACGAAGACAAAAGCATTACAGCCTGAAAACAGTTCAACCCACAAAGCTCAGCCACCTGCTTGCCGTTTCTTTGTCGGTTGAAAAGTCTCCGTTTTCCAAGTTTCCTTTATTTGGTGCTACATCTATTTTGTTAGTAACGAGCACACACGTTATCCCTTCATTCGGCATAGAGTGCTGTAGGTAGTCCGCCATCACTGGACTCACTGGTAAGAAAACACCCGAGACTGAGACAAGTAAAATAGCGGTAGAATTACGGACACGGGTGTGCTTGATTGGTTCTTCTTGATCCAAGTCCTATTTGGCTTAAGTTCTCAACGTAAATCGCGGCTGACTGTCCGCATATTTTTGCCGGCAAATCGACCAGCTTAATGGACTCCAGATCATGTGTTCATGTGTCTTCATTCTGGATTTAGGATTCGGATTACTTTTTTGCTTGTGTCCACCAGTCGATGGGGGCACACGTCCACCAACTTCTTTTCCCTACGGATCTTGCTGTTGGCCATGCCTGTCCCGTCCTTTGTCCAAGTTCTAAAGTTCATCTGGCAGTCAAACCCTAACAAAGCAAGCGCATCATCCAGTCAGTCAGTCATCCCCCTCTTCGTGTGGAATGCCTGCAGGCGACGTGTCAGCATACGGCCTGAGTTTGTTTGGCCTGTTGTCTGCCTGGCCAGATGGCTTGGCTCCCATCCGTCCAACCAACAATCTGCTTCCCACCCTCGCGCTACGAAAACTTAGGCAGGCAGCTGTGGTGGGACATCAGACACACGGACATTGGTTTTCGGGTCACCAAGACACATGTTAGCTATGAAATGGACCATGCTGGTGTTCGCTCCAACGGCCGGTTGTTTTCACACTAACCTTGAACTGAAGTGGCTGAGACGAGTGCTATACAGATGAACAAACAATTCAACCCAGTTTAAGCGTTTGATTAGATTCATCTGCTTTTGAAACGCGCTGAAGTCGATAGTTTAAGACTTTTCACAGGAAAACTGTGAAGGATCTCTACTTTTGAAATGGGAATTCGTGATGTAGAACAATGTGGAATGCAGTGTTCATATACAAGAACCCAACAGCTTATTCCGCTGATTCTGAGCATCCAAATCTCGTGCAGTGCATTTTGGAATGTACAGCTTATTTTACGATTTTACTCATTAGTTTATCCTGGCTTTAAGATGAACTAACATGTCAGCGTTTAACATCCATTAGTGGTACTTCGGGTTATTCTAATTGAATCGATCGAGGCACGGTAGTTGTCCTAATATTCTTGTCATACATAAGGTTAAGTTTTGAGGCCCGAATTTTCCTGGTTGTTCAGGTTACCAACACTCAACTATGAAGGGAATTTAGCATTATAGTTAATTATACCACAGCTGTATCATCTGTCGTTGTAACTAAATGCCCTGAGCCCGCGATCTGTGAGTTCCTACATTGCGCTTCTCGCCTCATCATCGCTTCCCGCTGGTACGCCAACTACTACACCATCCGAGGGCGGCAACGTACACTTCATCGTAACCTAACTACATTGTAAAGACATTGTTAACTGAATGAGCTACGTTTTGCAGCCCATCTGCCAGAAGGACACCATACTTGTTATGACTTCGGTCAGGGCCTCAAATTGAGCAGTAATGTTCACTAGGTTTACTCACGAAACAGAGAGTGTAGATTTCAGGGACGAAACATACCTCATATGAGAACAAGGGTGTATAATGGAATGAAATGTAATGTGGCGCATTTTTTGTTGAACTTGATACATTAAATGAAGCTGAGTGAGATAATCTGGCGCGAGATTTTGTCTTCCGCCCAAAGGACGTATACGCAAGTCAGTCATACCCAAAATCAATGAAGGAAGCTGAATAAATTATTTGACACGTTTTGCCGGCTATGGATCCAGCAAATTTGATGTTAGCAAGTCTTCCAACACTAATGAAAACAGTGTATCAGGTTTCACGAAAAAGTGACATGCCGCCGGAGAGTTGGTGTAAAGTAAATGGTTTGCGATCAGTGAAAATGTATTCTTTTCTAAATGTTTACGGCATTCAAGGAGCCAATCCGGACCAACTGCCTCATGCACTGACACTATGTGCTCGGTATCGATTCAGTTTTTAGTTTGAGTGTGAACTTGGGCACTGGTGATCGATCCTACCGCACCATTCTGATGAACCTCAATCACGGCTGGAAGCTTAGTGAATTGCGTTTTTCGCGGCCAACCTTGTCCACTGTCTAGCTGTCACTTGTGAACTCCAGGCCTCTGGACTCTTGGTTTTCGAACCCTCCATGGGATGTTGCTTTCAGCAACAAGTGGTCAGATTCTAAAAGAACCCGACACATGGGCTGAGGCAGTCTGACCACCTTCGTTTACATCCTATCGGTTTGACAGGTAGATTTGTGAAAGCTTGAAGTCGTGATGATAGCCTATTGACGGATTTCCACTTCTAACAAGGAGCTCGTGTTCACATGACCCTTCTGAGTGCTTAGGAATAAGGATGACAAGGGTATAGTTGCTAAGGCTTGTAAACGTGTTTTGTTTCCAGTTGAGCTCGTGAACTGCGTTAATGGGATGTTTTAACACACTTCGCCATCCGAAGTAGTCTTATTCTCCTGCCTTCGGCATTCGCGTAACATGTTAACGCTTCTGTGCAATGTACACTTTTTGGTTACCTTTTTGAGCGATATCAGCAAGCCGGTATGGTGCCCGTAGTAGCTGTTTTATTTTTACAAAAATTGAGTTTAAAGCAATTCATGTAGGACAATTTCCGGGTTTATCGTACAAGTCTCTAGCGCAGACGTTCCGTAAGACCGTATGTGTTTGTGGTACATAGTTTTGTTCGCGACTGAATTCATCTCATTCTAACCCGAGTTTGGTTCGAAAATCTCGCCTGCACTTGATGAGCCTACCACCGTTTGGTTGACAAAGTTCTACATCAACTTCTTATCGATTGTCAGCTGATGGAGCCAGTTGCCTGAACACATCGCCCCAGTATTCAGCTTTTTTTCTTGGCACAGTGTCGCATATTTATAACAACCTGGGCTGTTACTTCATACCCATATTTTCCCTTAAGCTCTTGACCTACCAGTGACCGCTGTGTGTATTGTGTTGATGCACACAATTAGACCGAACACGTTTTAGCTGGTTCTACCGACGTTCATACCTTCTACCTTCCACTTACGGATGTGGGCCGCAGATGGATGGCCTTGAAAGGTCGGAAGAACATACTGTCTTCGCAGAAGAATTGAAAATTCTCAAGTAAAATATGTGCTGTCAAATACCCTAATCAGCTATCATCCAATGAGGCTAAAGAATTTCGACACTTCATAACCCCTGCTAGGATGTGTTACGGATTTATAGCACCTGCTTGCACACTGCGCGTATCGCCCGACGTCACTAGTCTCTAAGTGTGGTTGTTATGTAACTAACTGATCGACATTGAGCACCACGGATACATACCACTGGTTTACGGTGTTTTTGCGCACCCCCCATCTTTCACAGCCCGCCACCCGAAATGGCTGGCTACTCCACAGAATCGAAACCGCACAAGTGGTGCCCAACAGACGATGCTATTCAGCAGCGAGTTGGATTCCGAATTGCGTAACTCGTCGTTGCCCTCTCCTCCACCCGTGATTATCGAACGGCTTCTCATTTCACCCAACCGTCCTACGACTGACGCCCTTGAGGAAGGCGAGAGTCATAACCTATCCAACCATGCCTCATTGTTGACCAATCTCGCCCGCCCAACCGTGTTGAAACGCGGTCCTCCTGATGGTGCCGAACAAGATACTTCCTCAACCATGTTTGAGCTGGAAGCAAAAAAGTGTGAAATGCCGACCATTTTCATGGGTGATACAAAAAGGTATGCTTTGTTTTAAAGGTGATGAATAACCAATTTATACTCTAAGAACTACAGTTTACTTGTTTTTGAGTTACCTCCATACGGCAGCTAGTTAGTCCACCTTCGGATACAGCCCCTTCAGTTCCCACCGTGTTTGAAAAGAGCCCAATATTGACGAAAAATTCACATAAACCGTCAAACAATGGTGTACACATGAAGGTGCTTCAAAGGTCACTGTGAGGATTTGGACTGCTAACGGGGGGTGTATCTTACCTGTCCTCTTCATTTTGGGCCGGTTGCCATCTCGTCCCGCCAGAATAGGTTCACTTTCAAATTATGGTCTTTGTTGCACACCAAAACAGGTCCAACTTATCTTTCTGTTGATCGTCCCGACCCAGGTTACCGTGCTTTTTTATCGTGTCAGCTGTTAGCATTTCTGTGCTTAAGGTCACGCCACTGTCTCATTGCAAAAGGGCGCCATCTACGGCAAAACGGAATCATAGACCAAAACAACGGTACGAAATGAGCCTAAATAGGTGGAAATCCTGGCTAACCCTGCAAGCGAACTTGAATCATGGGTCTGAAGTTATCCCCGTCTATATCACCGCGTAGGAAACTGGAATACAGTGGTTATCGCTCATTAAGAACGACCCATAGGACCTTCTGGTGGAGGAAGAGGAAAATCGTTGCTGGTTTCACATGACAGTTGATTGCGGCATGACGTAGTTGGCTCATATCTGAAATGACGACTGCTGCAGTTCGATCTAGAGCCCTCAGTCCATTGGATTCTCTAATACGACTGTATGACTGCATGTCTCTCACAAGAGTGGGCTGTTTCCTTCCTCCTCTTCTCCCCCAGGAGATGTGGCTATCTACTTAATACGATTGAATTGATCCGTTCTGTTTATATTCACAGTTCAGTGAATATACTTGCGTTTGAAGCGTCCACTCGTTTTCGAGACTACTGTACTGGGAGGTCAATATGAGTAGTCCGAAAGAACAAACCGACCATTTCCTGTCGAATTCATTAATCGGATGCTGATGGTCCACTTTCTTGGCATTTTCATTTGTTGAATGATCTTCATTCAATCGGTCATCCGCAAATTCTTACGACTAAGAAGCTCCTCGCTCACGGCGGCTAGATCAAGCATAGATTACGTTAAAAAACACGACAATGCACAACAATGGCAACCAATGCTGCTAAACTTCTTAAATAACTAAATGACTACTCGTGTTGTCTTTCCTGGTTTCGATCAGAAAATGTTTTCTTAAGGAGTAATAGGGCCAGAATTGTTGAAATTTACCGGTCATTCTCGATGGCTTCGTTATTTTTCCTATCAGTCCAATGGAAATTTGATGGCACTTGGCGCGAGCTTACTGGGGGAGCCTACAGAGGGGCTGGACCCAACAGTTTATAGCACCAACCGGTCTATCAGGCGACTGGGAACTGATATGATGGACTGTCGGTATGTATGAAACAGATCGATTTATGAAATCTGGGGATGTATGGCTCGATCCAGTATGGACTATTCCCGAGAAATGATTAGGGTATTACTTTCTCAGAGCATTTTATTCGGAAAGAGGGATAAAGTGAATCTCCACATTTGTATAACAGATATACGCATCCCTATCACAGCATCGTACCCGGAGAGTGCAGAAGTGTTCTTTATATGGAGAAACGGATTTTCATACGGATTCAACAGCTACCTCGTCTTATTTTGCAATCTTGTGCGCATGTTGGTCCATGCACTTATTTTTCCACAACTAGTCAAAGTAAATCTGAATCAAATGCATGGTTGTGTGCTCGAGGTAGCTCAGCGGTTGAGGCCCGAACCTTATTGACTGAAAGGTTCGTAATTCAAGCCCACCCGCACCTCAGCTGCTCCTGTCTAGGGGCAACTTGATTTTGCAATCTTGTGCGCATGTTGGTCCATGCACTTATTTTTCCACAACTAGTCAAAGTAAATCTGAATCAAATGCATGGTTGTGTGCTCGAGGTAGCTCAGCGGTTGAGGCCCGAACCTTATTGACTGAAAGGTTCGTAATTCAAGCCCACCCGCACCTCAGCTGCTCCTGTCTAGACTTGGGCAACTTGGCACTATCTCAGTCCTCATGTTTCCTTCGGGTATTGGCTGACTGGCTGCATTTATCCGTCTTTCCCAGTCTATTAATGAATATTACGTGTACAAACATAAGTTTTTAGAGTTATTGTGCAAAATACCGTTGGTTCTACATGTCCCAATTACTCAACTCAAGCGGCAGTACATCCGTCGGCGAAAACATGTTGGAAACTGACGGATTTTTTGCTCCAATCTGTAGAAAACCACGAGTGAAGCAGCACGTATAACCATTCCCCTGTTTGTACCAATATGCCGATGACGGTAGTTAGGACTCGCGCATTGTTAATCTTAAATCAAGCTTGGTATGCCCTAACTGGTTCGCTCATTTCATCCACTTCTATGATATCCACCTTTCCCGGTGAAGTGAATACCTGGTTTTTAACGCAGGTTGTCAGATAACTACGGCCCATAAATCTAAGCAAAACATCTACCGTAGTGTCAAGGAATCCAAATTAGAGTGAATTTTTCACCAGTAGGGTAACAGTCTGTGTTGAGTCGTATATTGAAACTTCTCCATTAATCCTAGAGCTATATTCCCATGTGGAAAATCCTCTTCGTGAGCAGTATCATTGGCCGTGTCATTCGAGGGCAAACCAACTCGGCCTTTACAACATCGCAGCTGATAGACAACTGTGGGTTTGAGAGTAACTAGGGCTGTCAGGCGCAGAAGCCTGTTGAGAGCCACTAGTCGGTCTAAACGTGATTGAACGGCAAGGGTAACCAGCGTTAGCTCTTGTACACCAAAGTGCTACCGTCAACCCTCCCAAGTTCCAGGGGGATGAATTGCCGTAACAATGCTTTCTACGAAATCCCATCACAGCTCCGCATATGAATACTGCATTACTAGTTGTGTGACTGCTGGTTCTTTAATCTCATAGTGACATTAGAGTCTTCTATGCAGGAAATGTTGGTCAGCTCCGCATATGAATACTGCATTACTAGTTGTGTGACTGCTGGTTCTTTAATCTCATAGTGACATTAGAGTCTTCTATGCAGGAAAATGTTGGTAGCTCAGGTAGCGTAGATGGCCGTTGGCCTGTTCGCTGAGATGGGCGATTTGATTGCAAAAGCTTCATCGCCTATCGAGATGACATCATCAGTGCGTTACATACATATATACACATACATAGTTGATATGTGTTAAAATATTGGTAGCTTGGTTGTCTGGACTGATAGCCAAATCTATAGCTGGCTTGTAAACTTTTTTGTCACCGGAAAGGGTAACACCCACCCAAACGTGCACTGATGCTGCTTGCTCGTATGGTTCTAAAAGGCCTGCAGACCAGACTCGTCGAGCAGGTTAGCGGTCACCTGATGTGTAGCCAAATTACACTTGGGTTGACTTATTTGCGGAAATAAGCTTCAGCGGATGTGTCCAGTTCTGTTTAGTTTCGTAGGATCGTGACAGACAAAGAACCATCACTGTTTTGATTGCTCTCAAGAATAACGGAATTTATGCGACAGACAACTCTGTGAAGCTTCAACACTGTCTGGTCAGCATGATCAAAATAGGCATTTCTGCCGTATTGTCGCCCTCGAAATTAGTCAACGTTAATGTGATAATTAGGACAATGAAGCTTATCAGCTATAGACACCGCCACTGAAATGGATGAGGAGCAGGATATTCAAGTACTCCAAGATCCCGTGACCAATCTATGTATGGAAACAATTGAAGTAAGCGTTTGCTTCTTTGCAGGCTAGAATTTTGAGACTTAAACATCAGGCTGTCCATTTACGGATCAAACAGGGGCAAACACTTACCGAACTGTTTAGCAGAAATCAGGTTATCGAATACTCCTAGCTACTGGGAACAGTTTTTTCCTCATTTTTCTTCAGTTTCATGGTAAACATGCTTCTTCTCTTCCCGGTTGTGAAAGTTTACTGATGGATTGGAAATGCTATTTATCTCTAAATCGACATCGTTATACTAGCACCGTCAGTCGCCGGCACTTTTCCCGTACCGTTACAGCACAGGTGAACTGCACATATCCGAAGTGACAAGCCAAACGAGGTGTACGTCCAGAAATCAGTGCAGGTCATCGCACGAGGACTACACCCATCTTAAACCATATGCTCGTGCTTGAACAACACAGGTGCATTCTTAGGCAAATAGTTTATCAGGTGTTGGTGATTGCAACATTTTGTAAAATGAATACTCACATGACTCCCGTTTGAACAATCGTCCTCCCATCCTGGTGCAATCGTTCTGGTGAGTCCACACCAAGGGAGACTGGACTCGAGTTTATCAATCCCAGTAGAGATAATCATGCCTTGAGGCCATCTTGTCTTATCTCCTATATCTTTTGGAAAACAGCTTATGACTTCAGTTTTCGTGTTTTAGTGACGCTTGGGCATGCAGCGCATAACCTGCCGGTCACACCAGGGCTGGGGTCCTACATCTTCACATACAGCAGCCAAACATAGAGGAGGGTTATCCTTGTCTAGCAGTTTTTTTACACCAAGGCATGAAGTGTGTATCAGTACCTGTTTACGTTTTTTCACATTGCAAAGCAAAATTCCGCTCAAACTCCACTTCCTTGGCATAATCAAGTTTATTTTTCATGTTTACTTATCTTTACAGCCTCCCCTCCACCGATCCTGGGACATGTACTTACTCGCCCAAAAAGAGCCGAACACATCTACTGGTGCCTAGTGAACGTAGTGCGTTCCTGCCAGTGGGGTCGAATCCTGCATTGTGTCGCCGGGTTTCCTCTCCTTGTGTTCATTAGTCTGTCCGGAATGTTGTATTTCAGGTATCAACCGTTTGTTTCTGCCGCAGCACCGTCTGGTGCACGTACTGTTGTCTTTCAAACTCCTTTGACCGTCCAAACGTTGTCTTGTTATTCTTGCTCACTTTCCACTGTTACTGTCGACATCATGTACGTCTGTGACGTCTTTACTTCCTTGGGCATTTGTATTTTTCTATCATCAAGAAAGCCGATGTGTATTTCATATACCTACTATTCTCCCGCGAAAGCAAGCGTTGGTGCACTGAGGAATGGGAAGGTCAATGAACGGAAGCCAATCGTTAGTATTACTTGAAGCGGCAGGGTTGTAGAGTGAGAATTGGTGATGTGTGGAACAGCTTCATGATGCACTTCTTCAACACGGCCTTTAAAAAATGAGTATATCTGGTCATTTGGCAAGCGCTGTTCTTAGCTTGCATGACTCATCTTTTGCTACTGGTGTACCTAGTCACACGTTCGTACTGTGGCCAGCATTGAGAGCAGCACAGTGTAAAGCATTGAAAACACGTGATATAATTGACTGTAACTAAATCCTCTCATAGCACAAATAAATGCGAATGCCGCCGTGCAATGTGAAGTGAAACAAGCTCCCGCTTATTGAAGACATTTCCCCGGTTGTTTTCAGTGGAGAGATCTTTCAGTATAGTTTAAAACAAAATACCAAAAAACAGTATCAGGTGAGATGCAATAAACAAGTATTACAGAAATGGGCAAGCGGGTGGGTCGAGCCGGTGCACCGGGTCCGAGCTCGATCCCCGGATGACCCACTTCTTCAAAAATAGATAGAGTTGACAGAATTGCAAGCGGAGATGGACAAGTGAAAATCTTGGCATTGTTAACTAGAGGAACGAGCGGCAGAGAAGCGAAATGACGTCATGGTAGACAGGCATAAGTCACGCCACTCGTGTGTAGTCAAACAACTAGAGGAAATAGCCACTGATTGTCGTCGATTCACGGGAGAAATGAACAGAATCTGTGTAGATGTTTGCAGCTGTTACGAAAAATCATAGATAAGCTTTAGAATTTTGTTAGAGTGATTCAGCGGTAGTGTAGTAGGTACACAGAAATAATACACTCCTGGGGATGCCCAGAAACCAAATCCCCTGTTTTGGGTAATTTTCACGACTTCATGCTTACTTCATTCGATCGGAAACAAACGCCATTGGCTTCCACAATAATCTCCTGTTAATTATGCTGGAAATACTTTGCATGAAATGGAAATGCCGAAGCAGTTGTTCAGATTTGATTCACGAGCCCACGGTGCCCTCAACTATGCAGTAACAGGAGTTTTGTAAAAAGGATTGGGTTTGTATACATCAGGACAGCCAATATAGTAACAATCAAAAGTGGATAAACAATTGCGTCACCGTTATCACCAGATTCTTTATCCTGATAAAGCTAATATTGAACACATGCTGTCATTTACCTTTCTCTTCCAGTGGATGCTGGTTTCATATGGGTAAGCGGACCCTGAAAGTCGCTTCACGGGAAAATAGTGATGAGATCACATTCTTTCGACAAACGGTGTAAGAATGGCATGACGCGCTCATATAATCAGGCGTAGTCCGTTGCGTATCTGTAGCTTTCCGAGAACATCCGAATAGCCCATCCATATAGTGCGAAGGATAATGTCCTTTGAACCGCCATTTTTAATCGTCTACTTTGGGAGTTTCCCATGTGATCGTGCGGGACTTCAGTCATCTGATGTGATAGCCGCGCTCTGGCTAATGATTTGATATCAATTAATTGGCATAAAATTTTTGAAGGTCGGATTATCCCTCAAGAACAAAATTGATGTCAGCGGTCTGTACTGCCAAAACAGTGTGCGAAGCTAGTTTCATTCGTTTGCTCAGTGTCGATCGATAAAACTTTGACCAAATATGGCTGAAGTTAGCCGTAGTAAGTCCCAGGACTAAACGTTGGGGTAGAAGTGACCAAACTCTTCCAATTATGCTTGAAATTTCATGTACGTGGATACAGTGGTTTTGTTGACCCTTTTCGTTCTATCATCTGCTTCGGTCAAAAGTGAAAAAGGAAGTTGTTCCAATGTTAAACTGCCGCTGTTTGGGCCCATTAGAGTGCATCCTTTTTATACTCGGGTCGCCCTTTCTCACTCAGTATGCTATGGTCTCCCTATACTTTTCGTATAGCTGCAGTTGCGGTCTGAGTGTAATTGGATTCGACTGGTTGTTATAGTCAGGTTAGAAGGTTGGGTTCCGTGCCACATATACTTTGGATGGCATCGTATCGCTCATGTAGTCATCTGTTAGAAAAGCTTGTACAAACTCAAAGGATTTTAAACTTAACTTATAGGATTATTTATCCTCGTAACATAATAAATAAGCACTCAGTTACATAACTGGTGACGTCAGAGTCTGTGTAAGTCTACCCGTAAGCCTGCAGGTAGGATCATTCAGCTGTAATATGTTTTAACTCCACCATGGTATGCCCAAATCGCCAGTCTAATAACAAATTGGTTTGCCTGGAAATTTTGAAACTGACCCTCAGATTTCGTTCAAACATGCAACCTACCTTCACATGGATGGTTCACCGAACAGTGCGGTAAAATATGCATACCTGTCTACTTTGCGTGCACTACTAGCCATAAAAACGCGGATTTTATTTCGGTAATTACATATATTTCGAAACAGCAGGAAGAGCTTCCTTACAAAAAAGCGCTGGTGTCCTCTACCTCATAAGGTATCCAATGTACGCTTTGATACGCTAAACCGCATCGAATTTCGATAAAAATCTGCCCAAATCTCATCAAGGCTTCATTCCGCTCATTTAAGCTGTTTACCGTCTTCATGGTCCATTTTGCTTTGGTAGACACCGAAAGTCAAAAATAGTTTTTAATTGGGTAACATTTCGCTTTTGACACAAAGCTTCATGAGGCCAGGTGAGCAGGTCACCGAATTGGCCAGATTTTAAGGCAGACAGAGAACCACTCAACGAGACCTCTTCAGATTATCACACTGAATCAGTGTTAAGTGTCAATTAACGGCTCTTGTCGGTTAGTGTGGTAGCCAATATCTTGCATTGATGGGTTGGAGGAGTTCCAAATTACTTCCGATCGGTTTTTGTTCCTTGATCTTCCAATTCAGGGTGCTTCAACCAATGATTCACTGCGGGTGCTGCTGGTAGATTTTCGTGGGCGTGTGAATGTGGCGACCATTTAGTTCGGGAGAAGGGAGGTGGGAAGTGTTAAGGGGAATTTGAATGATGACTGCTCCTCATTCTGATAATCGCACACCCACACGCGTCAGCTCGGTTGATCTGAAACCGTCCTTCACACGCTTGCCAATACCACGCCTTCTGTTCTGTTCACAATGGGATGGTTGCTGATTTCTATCGCCTCGCTTATCAATCTCTGTGAGGTGGACCGAGATCCTCGTCCCAAAACCTTAACATTTTCTAAATCTGTTTCGTGATCAAACGCCACTCACGGTGGCATGACCGAGAACGCAAACTGACAGCAAACTGACAGATAAAGTGCATTTACCAATTAGTACATTGCGTTGGACATGAGGAAGAAGCATGCTGGCAGAGCTCCATAAATAAAGGTAAACCTAAGTAGATTAGTTCACATTTTTCTGCTTGGAGCACGTATTTGCAAATAAAACAATTAAGAAATAAGAAAACAGGAACCGTCCAGACAATGTCTACCTGATGAGTCCCAAACTGGCTAAGACTGACAGTGAAACCTTCCGAGCAGAAGTGCTTCCATATCTTGAATAATGGTCCCATTCAACAGACATATCCTGCACTGCAGGACACGGATACCTGAGTATCATTTTGTCACCATATCAGCTAGCATGTTACTACTTAACACAAGCCAATACAAATGGCACAATAGGATACATGGCCTCGCAAGAATATGAGTGAATCTCTTCGCTTGTGGAACTGTCCGTCACGATTTGATTCCAAAATATGCTCCGAATTTTGTTTCAGTTAATGAATTTGTCTACAAATGGTGAGAAAATCGAAGTCGTTACATCCGAAAACGACATCGACTCACAAGAACTACAAAACGTTTGCGAGGACATCGGTGATTCGTAAATCACCTAGCTAGGCGCAGTAGGGTGCCTAGATTATTTGCCCACTAACTGCCAGTACAAGGTGAAGATGTAATCGGATACGTAAGGTAACAAATAGACCAGCTATTTTGTCTTTTTGGGGCTGAGCGAATGGGCAATGGAGGATCGGAGACATGACATTTCGACTAAACGTTTCCAGCTGTTAACATTGGACGAAGCCCTTCAGCTTCTGTGGTCAGCAAATTTGATTTTGGATGGCACAATACCAATTGTACAATTGCTAAAACATCTTTGGCCATCCGCTGACGACGCCATTTTTGGGTTGCGTCAAAGACTCATAGTCCCGAAATTTCCCTCAATCTCACTTCATTTCTATTTAAAATCAAATTGTACTTAAGCAGTGTGCATTTAATTACGACTGGACTCGGTGATGACAGGAGGTTCACACACGTCTTTGATGAGATTCAGTGTAGTCCAGGTGCAAAACTCTAATATTTGTGGGTGATAATGACGGGACGACCTCTAACCCTTGCAGATAAGTGAAGCGCGTTCAAAAAAAAAGATCTAAAAACGATCAGAGATATTTCCTTGAATACCCCACTTATGGCATCGGTGCCTATAACCAGTGTTTTCATAACTATAGGTCGAATTTCGATCACAGTGGTGAATTACTCCTACTCACTTATTGGTCTCTCTATTAACCACCACATGCAATTCGTCTATCTTCCTCGTCTACGGCATTGTTGAGACCCGAAAGAGTTTATTCTGCCCGCTTTTTGTAGACAATATAAAATGTGGTGTACGGTATGGAAACCATTGGATCCCCTTGCCTTCCTCAGCTAATGTTCAACTTGGGATATTCAAGTTTTCAAAACCCGTTGACCGAATTAAAGAGCAACCTCGATTTGATGCCTACAGTGTTCCGGAAATATCCGTCTGTGGGTTGTCTAATGCTTCTATTATCAGTCCAAGCCACTCGCGAACATCAGAACAATCGAGGGTATACAAGGTTTTCATGATTCACCACTAAAAGATAGTGAACACTATCAAAAAACGTTTTATGTACACTTGTAAGAAGTTGGAAGCCAAGTTCCTTCAAATTTCCGCGGTGTTCCTCTCTTTACCTCATCCAGGCTTTTAGGAGGCTGTATTAACTG